ACACACACACACACACACACACACACACACACACACACACACACACAGCGGGAATAGAGCATTTACCAGTGTTCATTCAGGTTAACGCTGCAGGCTGCATTTAGGTTGTACATCATCATCATCAAGGAAACATTCATCTGACTTTTATTTATAAAATCCAAAGTTCAAACCCAGCTGGCTGTCAAATATGAAAGAGGGATAAATATATATATATATATATATATTAACACAGAGACATTGAAGAGCCAGCAGCTTCACTCGGTCCATGAAGGCGTGTCGGTAGGTCAAATAAAAACCTCACAAACTCTGATGTTTACTGGGGATGTTTCCGATAGCTGTAAATGTTCAGCAATCGCACTTTACTGAAGCTGAAATATATAAAATCTTTACATATATGTATGTCCAACTGCTATTCTAATGTCACTTCATCCTCAACAGATTTTGAAAAGGGATAACCTGAAGATGGATTTCTATTTCAGGGTTAAGTGCTTCATGCCTTAAAGCTGCATTCTCTCTAGTGTCCACCAGGGGGCGACTCCTCTGGTTGTATAGAAGTCTATGAGAAAATGACTCTACTTCTCTCTTGATTTATTACCTCAGTAAACATTGTAAACATGAGTTTATGGTCTCAATCTCTAGTTTCAAGTCTTCTTCAATACAGCATGATGTTCATTTAGTACATTATGGTCCATTTAGAGTCAAACAGTCCATAAAGCAGGGGATGCTTTAGGGCGGGGCTACCTTGAGCATATTTTGAAGATTGGACAATTGCGTGAATCGCAATCATTTTAGGCGGGATAATTGTGACATGAAATTTTCATATTGTCTCATTGCTTAATGGGGATTTTAATTAAAGCCTGAAACGGCTCCATAACATATGATCCAAATGTTTCAATCAATCAAACTTTATTTGTAAAGAACTTTTCTTACAATTCTGACGAGCCAAAAATAAGACAGAACAAGTGTGGACCGAGAAAACAACAGATAACGCAAAAAATTATAATTTTTATAATTATTATTTAATAATAATTTAACTTGAGACCAATGCACGCGAGACAGCAAAATTATAAAAATTTAATAAAATAGAATTAAAAGCTATAATAACAGTAGCAGTAAAAAAAAAGTGTGAAAAAGCAACAAAAAAAACCGATTTAAAATAACAATATAATAGAATAAAGTTGCATTGCGGTGCTGTTATCGACAGGTGACGTGGAAAAATATAGCATTTAATTTTTCAATTTTTACTTTTTATTCTTGAAGAGATTTTAAGATTGAAACAAGTCCCTAAATTGTGAGTTAGGAGGTTTCCACATGACAGCAATGTGTGCATGGAGGCCCACTCACAATGCCTCCTTTTCACAGATGGGCCGTTCACAGGGTCCCTCCCTCCCAGCTCAGCTCTATTCCTTCACCGGATCCCTCTGTCTGGTGCAAGTGGTGAGGGAGGGAGGGAGGCTCTCTCTCTCCACCACTAATGTTTTCTTTAGGAACAGGCTGCTGCTTGTTTGACTTCCAACGAAAACAACGCCAGTATTTGCAGTTTGAACAAATTGTCCAGTGTTGTCCGGCAGGAGGACGAGAGCGGAGGAGGACGGCCTCGGAAAGACGCGCGTGTGACACCGACCGCGATGCATTACATTCACGCGCCGCAGCCGACAAAACACCTCGAGCAGATTTGCACACCGAGGTTCTCTTAAAAGTGAAGATTTTTGACATTTATGCAAAAAATTCTTCATGAAGAAGTGTGCAGAGCTGTAAATCAGAGCAGACTGCACCATGACTCAAGTGGGATCTCATGTTGTGCGAAACTAATTTTTACACGCAACACTTTTATAGCCCCACGTGTTGAGGCAACAAGATCACAGCGGGAGATTCAGACACAAAGCAGCGCAGCACCAACGAGCTGCTGGGAAACAATAAAAACACAATCCAGGAAGTCCAGTTGAAGTTACAGATCCATTCATTTGAAGGATGCCGAAACGCTCGATAGCGGTTTACAGTATAGAAACCATGAGGAAGGATTTTTATCACAGTGCTGATACGGGAAGCAGAATATAATTACTTTGTTCATGTTAATGTGCAACTGCATGTGTTCGATTGGTCATTGCAGCACTTTGTCCGATGACGATGTATTATTTCCTGCAGCTCTCTTTGTGCTCATGTTTCTCTGCACGTGGCTCCACTGTATCGGCCACCAGCAATAATTGAATATGACTGCAATAAAGTCTCGACCTACACGAGCAAATACTGAATGTGTGCAACCGGTCGAAGTTCATGTCCGGTTGTGCACGAGGCCGTTACCTAGTGATCTACTATAAACACAACTAGTACGTGTCCACGGTTTTGGGAGAATAACCGAGACTTAGGAGCGACTCGGTGAGGCTGGACACCGCAGTGCCTTGAGCTAAATGCTAATACCAGCATGCTAACAGCTACACAATGACAATACAAACATTCTAATGTTGAGCAGGTATAACGTTTACCATGTTCACCACATTAGTTAAGCGTGTAAACATGCTAACATTTGATAATTGTATTAAACACAAAGTACAGTTGAGGCTGAAGGGAATGTCGTTCGTTTTGCAGGTTTTCTCGTCATAAACTAAAGTATTGGACAAATGAAAATTTCAACCTGATGATGGCGCTGGGAAAAAAAAAATCTGAGGATCACCAAAGTTATTAGAATATATCCTGAGGGGACATGAAGTCCTGCACCAAAATACGTGGCAATGCAATCAATAGTCGTTGAGATATTTCACTCAAAACCACAAAAGTCAAGTGATGAACAGAGTCCTCTGGGGATGACGAACGTCTTTACCAAATGTGCCGATTCACTCAGTACATGACAAGATATTTCACTGGGTAAGTCAGAACTGTACTGATGTCACTTGAATAAAAGTCAGGTGATCATTAAAGTCAGTACAATTTATCCCCATAAATGTTCAATGTGTTCAAATTCATGGGCTGCAAGATAAACCGGCCGCGAGGTGATCAATGTGAACGAAGGGGGAAGAAAACATTTCTTCTACACAAAACGACAGCACAAAACGATGCTTCTTTTTAAGGGAACAGGCCAAAAGGTTTGGGAACCCCTGCTCGACATTATAATTGACGAGAGGCTCAGGCTTCATCCACACTACTACGTTGTAATTTTAAAACGCATTAGTGTGGATGAAGCCTCAGAGGTAAAGGTGGAGGTGGAGCCCGTTGAACTGACTTAAGATCACGACTACTGTATTTTAGTCATTAACTAATCCCAAAATGTAGTCAACTAGTCAAAGTTTTTTTCCCTTTTTTGCACACTGATCAACCAAAAGGGTTTCTACGTCAAATGAATCTACTTCCATGTGAAAATGAGGTGTGCAGACCAAGGCAAAGAAGCACGTCCAGCACCACTGCAGTAATAAAACATCAGGATTTACCGTATCGGAGTCGACGGGCTGGAAGGAGAAGTCCGAGGCTTGCTGAAACATGAGGTTCTTCTGTACAAACAGCTGCTGGTGAAACTCCTGCAGAACCTATGAGCGGAAAAGATGAAATACATGTTTAAGTTCTGCCAGATATGAAGCTCTTTGTGCACACATAATTTAAAGATAAAAACCTCTTAGTTGATTCTTTAAGTAAGTAAGTTAAGATAAAGGCCTCTAGTTTCATGGTGGTAAGGGCTAATCAAAGAGAATGAGCTGTATGCGATGTCCCAGAGTTAAATGTAACTTTATCTGTAAAATCTTAGTTCACTCCTGAGATTCGTGCGTTTAGTTTTCCCAGATTTGTACATGCTGCACAGTGAAATAGATCTTTGCCACCATATTTAGACCACAGAAACACAGCGTGATAAAAGAATCAAACATATTCATGAGCACTTCATCTTGTGACTCCGGCTGCAGAGAGGAAACCTGAACAAACCAGACTGAAAGAGGCCAACGACGGCTCGAGTGCACGTAACCGAGGAACGCCGAGGTAACGCACACCTTCTGGTTAATTAGCAGCCGGTAGACTTCAACTCTTCCAAAGACACGAGTGATCCTGAAGTCCTGAACTCATCCTGAAGGCCGGTGTCAGAGATGATCAGTTATCTTATCGATCGCCATCGATGAAAGTTTCATGTATCCACAGTTTAAGATGATCAACTTCATGTTTTTCAATCAAGACCTTCAGGATTTAGATCAAGAAAAATAAAGTAAGCCAAAGATCCGTATTTAATCAGCTCTTCTGCTGCTTTGTTTACATTTATTATCCATCTTATCTCATTTTCAGGTTGTGTCAGGAGAGCTGAACGTATCCGCTCAGACTCTGTAGATGCAGATCCCAAATATTAAAGTGACTGGATACAAAGGTGAGGTTCTGGTTGTCCAGTAGGTTTTGAGGACTCACCCCATTGGAGCTGTTTAAGAGCTGGTTGAAGGTGTCGTGGACGGCCTGGTAACTCTCCAGCTCAGTCTGACACAGTGACGCCAGGTAATCTTTCACCTGCTCATAGATTCTTCCATCTAAGACCTGCAGACGAAGACACACTTTTCAGATTACAGCACATGTTAACCTCCCACCATCCATCCAGAGTGTGCGTCCTCACCTTGATGCAGTCCATGAGGTCCGTGTCGTAGTAGCGCTGCTGGTGGGCGTTAGCGGCTGCTAGCATCAGAAGGTAGTCGTTTCTGGCGTGCGTGGCTTTGGAGTTACACTCGCTCCTCTTGGCCTTCAGCTGGAAGGTAAAAAGTTCACGACTGTTGACACCGAAATATCACAAAATGTGGAGCAGTTTTTACTATTTATTTTGTGATGTAAAGATCTCTTACCTTTACACTCGCCCTCTGGAGACTGGATCTGGACTGGAAGAGACTTAGCTTGGACCTGAACAGGATAAAGAGTTTTAATGTTATTTATAGTTATTGTTTTGTATTTGAGCAGCATATGGCTCGTTTTCATGTTTTTCTAATGTATTCAGGTCAGCAAAGTATTGTTGTCTAAATTGGGATTTGCCACAACTCACTTTGAGCTTGAGATAATTAGCTGATATTATCATATTTATAAAAAATGATCAGTTAAGTTATGCGACTCTTAAGTAGCCAGCTTTCTATAAGGGCCTGTATGTAGCATTTCTGGGGCTTTATTGGCATAAATGTAACATAATAGTTATTATACTATGTTTTCATTAGTTTATAATCACCTGAAACTAATAATAATCTAGTTTCCGTTAGCTTAGAATGAGCTTTTCATATCTACGCGGGGAGCATGTCTTAAAGGAGTTTACCATGTTTCTACAGTAGCCCAGAAGGGACAAACCAAAAACTGGCTATAAGGGGCCTTTTGCGTTTTTATGTCACCTGTAGGCCACCGTAGTTCTCTACATGCTTGTGAAACTGCAGTAACGTGAGCTGCAGAGTGTAAAACCGTGCATCCTGCTGCATGTTTACGCAGATTTACAGTAACCAGGTTACTACAGTGCACGTAAACATGTTGACATGATAACCTGTGTAACATCGTTTATCTGAGTAACCTGGTTTGTTAAACACTCTGATTGAAATGAGACGAACTACAGCTGCAACAAACACAAAGGAAGTGAAGACTGTGCGGTTATTTAGCGAGAAAATTAAAGTTTCAACATGTAAATAAATGTGAGTCCATCACCACAGAGATGAAATTAGCCAACTTGACTTATTTCCACCTCAATGACCTCCAGTCACTCTGCAGACGCTGAGAAGAATGTGTCTGTGTACACATCGGGCCAGAAGAAAGTAGTATTTGTAGTATTAGAACGAGCGCCAGCCCAGCTGCTGAGCTTCACTTCACCGAGCTGCTCTATAATAAACTCCCCTGAAGGGCAGAAAAAATGTCTGCAATGTGAGTCAAAGCGAGTCAGCTGCAGGACAAAGTGTCGAGAAGAGACGGAATATTTGTTGTTTGTTGGGATGAAACTAATGAAGGACTTTCACGGTCAACTAATATGGCGATGTGCAGAGTTTGACACTGAAGACAGATTGATAAGATAAGATTTACTTTATTGTCCCACAGTAATAACGTGTCTTGAGCTGTAAGCTGCTGCATCACATGTCGAGTGTGTGACAGCACTTCTTTAAATAATGGAAGGTAATAGAAACATCAAATAATAAAACCAGGTGTGATAAAACCAGATGATAAATAATCAGGTCACAATATATTAGTCCCCAATAAAAACTGTCTTATATAATGGTGCTTGTTGCCATTAGATTTGTTTGATGGAGGATGAAACAAATAGTCTGCAAATCTCAGTGTAAGACGTGTACGACTTGTGAGCATTATTTGTGACATTACAAATACGTTTTGAACTAATCCTGCTCCAGTACACAACTCTCACCAGTGCGAATCCACCGGTGCACAAACACTTCTTTTATTGTCTCGTTTTTATCATTTAAAGTGCCTTTGAGAACATTTTTAAGTGCTATACAAATAAAATGTTTGTTTATTTAAATAACTAGGTAATTGAACTTATTGAAAAACAATATCAGACACAAAAAATGCATTTAAAGCAGATTATTTTTGGTCTGGAGGGCATCTTTTACTGATTTAGTCTATAAAAATATCCATCAAAATAGCTCAACGGTGATTTTTCCACATCGCTCGTTTTTTCCGAAACCCCAAAAGATACTCATCCGACTATAATGTCAAGAAAAAGCCACAAATTCTCACGTACAAGAAGCTACAACCATGAAAACGTTTGGTCTTTTGGATTAAAATAACATCGCCGATGGCAGCAGAGTAATTCGGTTCATACTTGGCGTCCAGCTCGGCCTTCTCTCTGACGGCCTGAGCCATCGTCTCGGCCTCCTGGTACTTCTTCCTGCTCTTCGTCAGCTCCTTCACCGACTCCTGCAGCTCCGCCTGAACCACCGTCAGCTGTTCGATACACTGAGAGACGGAAGACACGCAGAGAAAGGGACACGAGAGAGAGCTTTACATGTAGGGAAATTATTATTCCTGCAAAAATATGCAAAGATTCCCGTGTGGTGAGTGAACGTCATGATGGCGTGTGTGATAAAGGAGCTATGAGGGCATGTATTTAAAATAGAGTGTGAAGAAGAGATATATTTCAGGCCAAGTCCAGCACTCCAGCGGGATCGATGATCGCTGATAGCAGCCATTAACGATAAGAAGTGCTGCAGCTTCTGTCCTCATACGGCAGATTGTTTATTTCCCCGTTTATCAGTGTTACTCTGGTTGTTTACGTAAAGTCCGACGCTGAGACACAGTCCGAGGAGGACAAAGAGCACGTTTGTAAGTTTGAACCCGTCTCACCTTCCTCAGCTGCTGCTCCTTCTGCAGCCGGCCTGTCTTGGCCGGATCGGCCACCTGGACTTTGTAGTTGTCACAGGCGCTGATTCTGGACTGGGTGACCTGAACCGTGCCCTCCAAATAGGCCCTCCACACCCAATACATGCTCCTGAAAACCAAACGCACGAACAGAAACACACAAGGGTTCACTTCACACCCTCTAGAATCATTATTTGATGGAAATTCGTGAAGCCAAATGGTAATTTTGGACTTTGGCTGCACGATTAATGGTGTATTTTCTCCGTTCAGGCCTCGAACGCTTCTAATTTCCTCCAAAACGAGCATCAACAGATGAAATGTGTATCACGACGCATGACAAACTGCACAGGAACAAAACAGGACGTCAAAGTAAAAACAACATACGTGTGAAGCTGCAGCTAACGATGGTTTTCCTTGTTGATTAATTTGTCAATTACTTTCTCATTGATTGTATTATTAGTTTCTTTTAATAGTAAATAGAGAATTAATTTACCAGAACTAAAACTAAAAAGCGATTTCAGAGAGAAGCAGACGGGTCTAAAATATGTGTTTTAAAGATGTATCCAGGATGTCAAAGTGATTCATCAGTGAAACCATGTTCAAAAGATAACGCTATCTTAACGCTAGTTAATGATGTGCTAATGTACTCTGCTAATGTTTAGCTCCAGAGGCTTTCATGTAGAAACGCAACATTTTAGAAACGTTTATCTGTGGAGCAGAGACGGATAGCTGTCGGAGCTGGACGATGCTACGCTATGATTGGAGAGTTTGCTTTTGAGGGGCGGGACTTAGTGAAAGGGTCAATTAAAAAACATAACGTGAGACGGTTGTGTTACCCGTGTTCTGCTTGTTCTTCTGTCAGACTGTCCGGCCATTCCCTCTTTAGATACTGATTGGCCAACTTCTGGAGCGCCTGGAAGAGAAGAGACAAAAGCAGGGGATGACCTTTCACCTTTAACACCAGCTCATATTTCCTGCGTCTCTTCTTCACATCGGACGCTCTTAGATACACCACACCAGATTTAAACTATCCACTCTCCCTCAATGTGTTCAACACTGCGTGGACTCGTTCACCTGTTAGCCACAGTCCTGAGGTTGGCTCATTTGCTGGTTTTTATGCTGACGTAGGCTCATATTTTGGGGAAAGAAAAATGTAATTCATTCAGACCACATTGACCCTCCTGAGATATATCAGCTTCCTCCACCTCGGCCAACGGTGAGGCTGAGCTTTTAAGAACAGAAATAGACGGATAAAAGTGTGAGGATATGTTTGGAATGTCAGAGAAATGTAACCAGAGAGAGCTTTAATACTTCTGTTCAGATGATCTAAATGGGATTGACTTATTACTTCATAATTATGATCATGCTGCTATTTAGAAAGACTCATAAAAGCTACAGATAATTGGGTTAAGTTGACTTTTCTTTGTTTTGTTCTTGGTATAAAATAACTGTGTTGTGTTGTAATGTTTAAGACGAAACCGCCACATTCAAAAATTGGTTTGAACAAACGACATCAACATAATTACTCGGTTAATTACTACCAGCGTGTAGTTTAAAGATGCAGATATTCACCCAGCTGTTGTGTTGCATTATGGGAATTTCTGGAGCTTTTTAGTCGATTTATCTCAGCTTCACACGTGCAGTGCTACTACATCGATGACCTACGTCTTTAAAATGTTTAAGTACCACATGAAGTCATTACAAATATGAATAAATAAACATTCCAGTAATTCAAATGCACTAACTGACATGTGAACAGGTTTTACAATAACCAGGTTAATGCAGCGTTTCTGGACTCGTTCTCAGGGCGCAAAATTGCAAAAACAGCAAATATATCGTATCATGATGACATCCTCAGGTGATTCTCACTCTGATCTCTGGGTAACAAACTAAACTGAACACAGGTCAGAGTGATAAGTGTCAGCACAAATTAAACATATGAGGGGAACGTATTCATTTTACTTCTGTTTCGAGATACAAGCTGACATTTGTTATTTTTGTGGGGGTTTTTTTGCCTTTCCATCAAGGAAATGAGCCCCGTCCATCCTTCCTCTGTGCACAGTGAAAAGAGACCGGCCCTGTCATGCAGTCCTGAGGGGGGAAAGACCAGGACCTGAACTCGCCGGGTCCTGGTTGGTGGTCTCGGTGCCAAAAGCTTCAAACGCTGCTACAAACCCGACCATTGTGGGACTTTAGATAGAGGCTGAAGGACGAGGCGGAGGAAGAGCCACACAGAGGAGGACATTTTATCACCACGGTGTGATCTGAATAGCAAGCGGCTAATGGCTAAAGCAGCTTGCAGGTGTAAGAGAACCCAGGAAAGAAAAAGGGGGCGTGTACAGAGAAGAGATCTGGATAAGAAGAAGAGGAGGGTGAAACCAAAAGAGGGCGAAGTGTTCCAGAGACACTCTGACCCACTTTGATTCAAGCATTGGCAGCGGGAGTCTAATTGATCACATAACTAACAGGCAGCACGACCCGGACTCACTGAACACCTTTCAGACCGAGGCACACAGTGAAGACATCTCATTCATTCTACCAATGAACCAATCGAATTGTTTTGTCTATAAATGTAGGAAAATTGGAAAAATGTCTTCTTCAGGTTTCTAGTTTTGTCCAATTAACAGCGTAAAATCGAAACATATTAAATTTACAATAATATAAAACAGAGGAAGGTAGAAAACAAACACAGCTAAGAAGCTGGTAGCAGCAACTGTTCATCTCCATCAGTAGAAATCATCTCCTCTCATGAACATCATCACAGCATTGAGTAGATATCCACGACACACTTTCATCGAGGTCTCCAATAAACGATTATTTTCATCATTGATCGTTGCGTTTCTCAATTAATCAATTCATTCTTTGGTCCATAAAATGACAAAAAAGTTTCCCAAAGTCAAAGTTGACTGAATTTGGGATGCGACAGTCGGACATTTTGAGGAAATAGGAGTGTTATTGTTTTTTTTATGATTGTTATCCAGAATATTTATAATAGGCTGACAGCCAATGAACTGAAATATTTATCATCATCAACTATTTCCTTTTACTTTGTTTAAGTCATCTATAGATGGTATTTGCATAAAAACACACAATTCAAATGAGTAAGGAATAAAAGACTTGTCTTTGTATTAGCAGTTTTAATGATGTGTTATGAGCTAGTGTAAACAGGTCATAATCCATCTCTAATATCTATTTTATATTGATGTGAAAACATCTTCAAACAACAACAAGCATTTGAACACATCATCTTTTTAACTCGTGGATGTGTTGTTCACAATAACGTTATCAGGGATCAGTGATCTCCAGATCACTTTGCTGAATATAAGCCGATAACGATCGTCAGTAAAACTTAATTCCACACTGCGATGGTTAAACTGCGTGAAATGAGTCCCTGGTTTTATTTCATACGTCCACAATGTTCCCACACGGCTGATTTAAGGCACTTATTTTGTGATGTTGGTTCCTTTGAAGCAAGACTCGTTTTAACAGAGCAACAATGCAGGAACCAGGACACCACAGATATTGTAGCTTCTTCATTTCTAACAGCTATGAAATCATGATTTATACAACCGTGGTTACAACATAACCCGTTAACCCCGACATCCCTGCATAAAGTATTCAGTTACCATCAGAAAAACTGAATATATTTACACATGAGAAGCTGGAACCAGCTTAAAAGCTTAAAAAACGGACTCAAATGATCAAACAATTATCAAAATAGCGGCTGAATAGTTTTCTGTTGGTCGGTCTCAGAGCTGCGTTTACCAGTTTAATAAATCTACAGTGAAACAGCTTTCATAATAACTCCTGTTCAGGGCGGATTGAACACATGAAGACAGAACTGTGTTGCATTGCTCGGTTCTGACGAAATCTGACTTTCAAAACAACGGTCTAACTCGGGGCATGCATATCCAATAAAACACACATGCAGCGGGTTACTCAGGCTCTTCCTGCAGGCTGACCGTGACCCTCCACTGGATCACTGACACGCATCAGATTCACTCATCGTTCTCACAGCGTTCATGACACATTAAAAACATGTTAAATACATGTAAGCATGTGTCTGATAGAAGAAACATCAATGTAGTTGTCGACGTCTGTGCTGTGTGTTTATTAGGAACAGGAAACATGTATTTAACATGTTAACAGTTAGAGATGCATTATTCTGCTGGACCACGGATAAAATATGTGTTTTGTCGTAGTAGTACTCTCTGAGGTTCTCTTCTAGTACTTCTAGTTCTCTCTCCTTGTTCGGAGACAACGTAAATCTTTTATGGAAGGTGACATGATAATCCAGCCAAGCAATACAAATAATGTACAAACAGGCATCAGAGATTTTCCCTGTTAGCTTCTCTTGAATGGAGTGTTTTTAATCTACGTACGCAGAGTTCTACTGGCTCTGTAAGTGAATTTAAGCCGTATGTTTAACTCCATGTTGTATTCATGCACACTACACAGGACTTGATATTAAGCTTTTTCTTTTCTTTTTTGTTTCATTACTTGCATACTCGTCCGAAATGGAAAATGTAGGATTATTAATAAATAAATTGAATCAACAGAGATTAGGACAATTGGACAAAAAAAAAATCCAATCCAAGGTTATTAAAGTTGGAATGCGGAGGAGTGACGTAGAGACGCCCTATACGTCTCTGGTAGAGACCTGTCAATCACTGTGTAGCCCCGCCCT